TCTTTGGGGCTGTACAGATGTATTTAGTATGGAATTTGGGAACACAGTAACAACCGTTTTACTTCAACCATTTTCATCATACCAAGCTTATTACTAAAGATTATTCAAAGAATGCGCTACTGGTGTTTGCAGTAGTTACTTGCAATTCCCATTCTATAAAATAAGGCCAGTTTTTGAAGCACAGGAGTCAGGTTTCATGCCTGTGAGGATTCTTCAAGTACTCTCTAAACAAAGGGCATGTTGCTCAGAAAGCATAGGTAAGGCAGAGTGAAAACACCCAGTGTCATGACAGCTGTTCTGTTACCAACACCCCTTCTTATGGACAGCTCTCAGTGAGATGGGGCAAGATAATATTGCCAGCAGTAAGGGTCTTTCCTTCACTTTTTCCAACTAATCTAGACGCGTATTAGGGTCAAAAGAAATACTATCGTTCTTTCGTTCACCAGCATCCTACATATTTATCAGTGGCTTCCCACTGAAAATTTTAATTGTAAGCAATGCTTTAGAATGCGCTGCTCTTGAACTTAGAGGAAATAACAGAGACATTTATATCTATGTGTTTTTAATGGTTAATCACTAGCCACTTTGTGTAGCATTGAATATATGAAACTTGGCCAGGAGTGGTGGTTCATGTCTGTAATCCTAGGACTTTGGGAGACTGGGGCAGGATCACTTGAAGCCAGGAGTTCAAGATAAGCCTGGGCAACAAAGTAAAACCTCAACTCTACAAAAAAATTAAAAAGTTAGGCAGGCATGGTGGCATATACCTGTAATCCTAGCTACTCAGGAGGTTGAGTGGGAGGATCACTGGAGTCCAGGAGTTCAAGGGTACAGTGAGCTATGATCATGTCACCTCGGCCACCAGTCTAGGTGGCAGACCAAGACGCTGTGTCAAAAAAAAGAAACTCAGGGAAATGGGTGAGGAGCGTGGAATTGAGTGCCCATTGTCTGAAGACTTATAATCAAAGGATCCTAGTGAGGATTAATTAACCAATTAAGAATAAGTTAATTATAAAATTAAAAATCAGGAATACCAGGCTTAATGCCTTCATTCATTCTATTTAGCAAACATCTTTTTTTTAATGCCCACAATATTCTAGGTTCTAGAAATACAAAATTACTTGATACTAGTACCTTGACTGACACCTTTCCAACCATGGACTTGGCTCAGACAAACCCCAGTCCATGGTTGTTGTCCACCTGCAGTGCTCGCCAGCTGTGGATTTATGCTGGGGATCCCAACACAACAGCAGCGCTCTTGGAGCTTGGACTGACCTCTCCTTTTCCTGTGTCTTCAGGTTCTGGTTCCCTTTTATCTCAGCTTCACTTAACCTTCCTACCTTTCCACAAAGAGATCAACTCTACATTTCTGAAAGGCATAGCTTAGCTCTGGATTCTTTGACATCTGAGGATATCTCTGACTTTTAGAAAGGGGAACCAAGGGGAAAAATCTACCCATTAAATGTCATTTCAAAGCCAGCTTTACTAGGTACAATTATTCATTGCATATATCCTTTTTAAAAATTATTTTTATTGTACAGATACCTTTAGGTATTTGTTCTTCACAGTATTCTAAAACATTTCACTTCACTTTTTTTTTTGAGACAGGGTCTTGCTCTTTTACCCAGATTGGGGTACAGTGGCGTGATCTTGGCGCACTGCAACCTCCGCCTCCCCAGCTCAAGGAATCCTCTCACCTCAGCCTCCCAGGTAGCTGGAACTACAGGCATGTGCCACCACGCCCAGCTAATTTTTGTATGTTTTTGTAGAAACAGAGTTTCACCATGTTGCCCTGGCTGGTCTTGAACTCCTGAGCTCAAGGGATCTGCCTAGGTCAGCTTCCTAAAGTGCTGGGATTACAAGCGTGAGCCACCACGCCCGGCAAATTCTTGTATGTTTTGGTAGAGATGGGGTTTCAACATGTTGCCCAGGCTGGTCTTGAACTCCTGAGCTAAGCAATCCACCTGCATCAGCTTCCCTAAGTGCTAGGATTACAGGCATAAGCTACCACACCCAGCCAACATTTCATTTTAGAATGAGGAAAACCAGGAATGAGATCCTGTAGCATTAAGACAATCCACCTGTCATCATTTTGATGTAAATTCAAAATTCACAGTGAAGCAATTTCATGGCCTTCTGTAGCCTTTGCTTTTGTTTCTCTGCCTGCTGTATATTTAAGTGGTTGATGGGCTGTGGTACAGGATTACTTCACTGGTCCCTAAAGAAACATTCACTATTGACTGAGTTCTGATTTCAGGGGTTCTTTTTTGGTTGTTTGTCTTTTTTTTTTTTTTTAACTTTTCTCCATATATACCAATAGCAAGATAAACAGCTAAAGTCAACGAAACTCAGCAAAAACCTGTACGTGTGGGTTTATGCATACATTTAGACTTCTACATATTCATGTGTAGAAAACATTATACAAAAAAAGTGTTCTTATTATAGACTTTACATTATAACTTGCAGGTAAACAAATACTGTATCATTTTCTCACTTTTAAAAGATGTTAAACATTGTACAACACTACGAATGACTTCTTTAGGAACAGAAAGGAAGGACCAAGATCAATATTTATTCCCATGACTACCTATTCCAGAAATGAATTACTGTTGCTCTCTTATCGCCTCAGAGTCTTACTTGTTCATGGGAATCAAACCCAGTGATAAAAATGTACCTTGTCAGGGGTGACTACAGCTGTTCTTACATGAGGCAGGCCAGTCACACTGTTTTGACTCCTTTCATGACAGACTCCAATCCCTGTAACTGTGAGTCAATTATGTGGAAAACCACAAATCCACATTGATAAGAAAGCTGAAAAAAAAAGTGGCTTGGCCATATGTAACGTATTTTCTTTCATTCTACTAATGCAGATCTTGCACAAAACTGTTAGAGACACAGGTAGATAAATATCATTTATATTTGACCTTACGTAACATAAAGCTTTGTTTGCCTGATTTATTAGTAAAAGGGACAGAGTATGCTGAAAACTTAAGACTTGTATGCAGAAAGAGACTTTCAGAAAAAAATTCACTGAAGCAATTTAAAAGTGCAAATTAGAAGTCGTCTCTATGTCCATCACTTGAGAAATGGATTTTTTAAACTCTGCAATGAAAATTCACTGGACTCCCACCATATTTCATCTAACTCCATAGTCGGCAAGCTACAGCATAGTTTTCTCCATAGCATGGAGAAAATACAGCCCACTCTTGATTTGTTTGTTTATTTGTCTTGTAGAGATAGGGTCTCTCCTTCTTGCCCAGGTTGGTCTCAGATTCTTGGGCTCAAGCAGTTCTCCTGCCTCAGCCTCCCAAAGTGCTGGGATTACAGGCTTGAACCACTGTGCCTGGCCGGCCCACTGTTTGTGTAAATGGAGTTTTATTGGAACATAACTACATTCGTTTGTTTATATATAATCTATAGCTGGCTTTCATGATACAGTTGTAAAATTGATTAGTTACATTATAAGACCGTGTGGCCCTCAGTGTTGAAATAAAATATTTACTATCAAGCCCTTTACAGAAAAAGTTCACTGACGCCTGATCTAAATTGAAATGTCATCAATTGTAAAATGCACCATTACTTTATGTACCACTAATAAAAAAATATGCCAGTAAAATTATAAGCCATCAATTGTGAGAAGCATTCTGATTTTAGAGATGGTTAAAATATTTTTTAAAAGATCTTAAAAATTGATAAGTTGTAAGTATATAGCACTTCAAATAAGTGAATTATGGCATTTATTTCAATAAATTTCAAATGTTAAATGTTGAATAAAAAATAGGAATAAAACAATTTGCAGAATGATATAAACAGCATGATATTATTTATCTGACTTTAAAAACACACAATGAATGTCTGTAAATGCAGCTATGTATAGGTAAACATAATTTAAAAGAATTGGAAAGATGTAAAGAAAACTCAGGATAGAGACTTTTCCCTGGAAGGAGGAGAGAGGGCCAGGATCATGGTGGAAAACTAGGGGGGAATTGATTTTTATCGGTAATGTTCTACTTTTAAAAGAGGTGATTTACTAATAACAACTAATTTTTAAAAGCATCAAAATGTGAACAACCTGGAAGAAAACATGTCAAAATATTAACTGTGGTAAATTTTGTGGAGTAGAAATACGAGTGACTGCATTTTAAATGGTATCTCGCTGTAATTTTAAAGAACGTCATGGATAACTAAAAAAGATGAGTCATATTGTTTCTGTCTGAATCAAAAGAGATTAAGATTTTTTAAAGTACATGTTAATCAATTACCTGACGTTACAGACTAATCCTGTTTTTCTACTGGGGCATTCAGATGAAACAACATGCAAGTCAGGGCCACGTTTCATAGTTAGAACTGTTTTTAATAATGGTGGTACAGCTAATCTTTAAAGACAGTGCACGTTGTTCCTCACCACAAAGAAACTCCAGTGAGAAAAGTTAAATGTCAGGTGTGCTTCACCAAACTGAAAGAGCTTGTCATGATTCATGTTACTGATGTCACTTCTTTCAGCCTGACCTCACTTGTTTTGAAATGTTCCTTGTGCTTTTACAGGAGTTTATGTGTTGTCACATGCAGTGCAGACCCTCTGGTTACTTATTAAATGTGTCACTTTGTCATTTGTCTATAGCAAGGCTTCTTAAAATCTTCGCTATCAGGATATTCAGAAATTCAAATCTGTGAGATGGTAATTTACCCCTACCAGATTGTTTGTTCTGATAATGAGGATACACTCACCGACCACTGCTTTCATTTACTTTCAGTTGTTGTTATTGTTGTTCTAAACCTGCCTTTCTCTCACTTGGAGTATTTCACCAGACATAACTCATGCTGCCTGCCTTTCAGGATTCAAAAAGTGAGATCTGCCCGAGAAAGTGGTAGCAGGAACCGTGGTCATGGTGGCCTTGAGTCTGTGAAGCTGTAGTGCCTGAGACAATGCTCCCATGCCACTAGAACCAAAATGGGGTGCTGTGCATCTCACCATGTAACTCCACTTTTTCTTTTTCCAGTTCAATTTCACCATTTAGTATTGAGAGCACAAGACGCCAGAGACGGTCTGAATCCCCAGACTCCAGAAAACGGCGTATCCACAGATGTGATTTTGAGGGATGCAACAAAGTGTACACAAAAAGTTCTCACCTGAAGGCTCACCGGAGGACACATACAGGTACAGCTGTGCAGGGCTTCTCACCTGTGAGCCAGTGGGAGTCTGTAAAGCACCGGCCACTCACCTCGGGAGCCTTTCGTACTCATTCGTCCTGTGTACATCTCAAGTCCAGTTCCCTCCTTCTAGGCAGAATGTCTTTCTCTCTCTCTCTCTGTGTTGAAAAAGGCTTAAGTCTTAGTGAACTTCAGAAACCAATAAAGTATTTGAGCTTTTAAAATGTTGGAAACACAGTGATCTGGTAGTCTTTCTCATAATCAGTATCACCATGTCATCATTATAGAGTCTATCAGTTTTTAAAATGTCCGCATGGTGCATCAAAGAAGAAACTGAGCAAAATTATTCTCTCTCTTAAAGTTAGTATTTTATCCATTCCTTCAGATCATGCTTTTTTCTCTTCTCAAAATTATCTCCCGGGCAGGTGCTGTGGCTCACGCTAGTAATCCCAGCACTTTGGGAGGCTGAGGTAGGCAGATCATGGGGGCAAGAGATTGAGACCATCCTGGCCAACACGGTGAAACCTCGTCTCTACTAAAAATACAATGATTAGCTGGGTATGGTGGTGCGTGCCTGTAGTCCCAGATACTCGGGAGGCTGAGGCAGGAGAATAGCTTGCCTCGCCATGTAACGAGGGGCAAGGTTGTAGTGAGCGGATGATCGCACCACTGCACTTCCAGCCTGGTGACAGAGCGAGACTCCATCTCAAAAACAAACACAACAACAAGAACAACAAAAATCTCTCCCAAATAGCAAATAGGTAAACAACTGAAGAATAAAAAATGACATATACACATATATGTAGCATTGTGGAAGTTTTTACAAACACTCAGGCATAACTCCATTTGATTCACACTGGCTTTTTTTATAAATCAGGAGAGGAGTTTTAGTATTGACAGTTTACAGAATCGGAAATTGATAACACAATTGATTAACTGCCTTTGCCACTGTTCACCCATCCGTCTAGAAAATGAACTGGTGACTGCACTTAGCCCCTGCCCACCCCATCCTCTGCCTTCTGTGTCCCTCAGCTGGCATCCTCTGGCCTCCTGGGCTTTCTGTTTCTCCTGGATGCCCCCAGTGGAAGGCCCTGGCAAGAGACTGAAGATAAGAGGAGGGCGCCATAATTCCACCACCTCTTTTTTAGAAAGTGGTGAGTGGACTGTGTGAAGCCCAAAGAAGCTGATAGAGCAGGAAAACTCATTCACACATTCCCAGTAAAGCACGCCTCACAGCAGCCAAGTCCCGTCCAGTGTCTTTCCTTGACAGCATCTGCCACTGAGTGGAAATTTCACATGTAACAGATTCCCGTCTCAGACATATGAAAAGAACTGTACCCTGTAAACTGCTTCCCAGCTTAGGTGTCAAAATAATTGAAATTAGCACCCTTTTCCATTTAGCCCATGTTCCCTCTCTGCTCTCTATTCTTTTTCCTTTCCTACTTAATTAGAGGCAGGGTCTCACTATGTTGGCCAGGCCGGTCTTGAAGACCTGGGCTCAAGTGGTCCTTCCACCTTGGCCTTTCAAAGTTCTGAGATTACAGGTGTGAGCCACTGCACCCAGGGTCCTTTTTCTACTTATTCTAGATTCTTCTCTATGATTATGAGCTTCTTAATGAGAGGTTTTTTTCTGTTTCTTATGCTCTGTTTTTAAGTCAGTTTCTTTATTATTAAGGCAAAGAATGAGTGTAAAGACATGGAAATTGAATAAGCATAAAACATTCTACCAGTAGATAGCACAGATCACAGCAGGAAGTATGATTAGGCCATATTACTCACTTTTTATAGGAGCATTTCTGTTTTTAAAAATGGCTTTCTGTACTGAATCAGCACATATTTTGAGTTATTCCTATTCTCTTTGAGCTTTCTGGAATGCATATTAGCCTCATTTTCACACAGATACCTCCATTCCTCTTACCCAAGGGATGAACAGTGAAGGGGAGGGAAATTTTTAATCAGGTACTATTAAAGGATTTAACTCCATGGCATTATAGGATTTTTTCTTACAGGTTCTAACATATACCATGAGAGCAGAGGAGATACCATGTATGCATTATCATTCAAAGCAATCTAAAGCTTGCATGCTGTGCTAAAGCAGAATTAATTAGCTTGGCTTATTAATACAATGAAATCATGGACTCTAAGGGTCAGAATGGACTTTATATGTTACAGTCTAGTGTTTCCTAAGTAGGGGAACCCTTTGCATGTCATACCTCACAGAGAGCGAGTCACTGCTATGCAGTTTTCTGCATACTTACGTGTATTTTTAAGAATTTCTTCTTAACGACTGGGTGATTGCAGCTGTTACTATGTCTTTTACACTTCTGGCTATTGTTCCCACATTAGTAATTTAACCAACTCTCTTTAAATGCTCTGAGTGATCACTTATTCTTCTGCAACACAATCTGAAGGCAGAGTTCTTCTCTTACAAAGTCCAATAGTCTCTTACGGTGCTGTTTAGATCTGGAAACCTTCTGGTTGAGCAGAATGGCTCTAATGATAACGCTGTAATTTTCACTCTCTAGCCCCGGGGCTCCTCTCAACACTGTCACGAACCAACTAGCGTCTTAATTCTCCAAATCAAACACCTCTAGTTTTCTCAGCCATGTCTCCAACTGATCATTGTGTCCCTTCAAGTTTTGATACCACAGATTGAGGGAAGACATCCTGTGAATGGACTTCTCTCAATACATGTGTACCCCAAAGATATTGTGAGTTCAGTTCCAGACCACCCCAGGAAAGTAAATATCACAGTAAAGCAAGCCACACAATTTTTTTGTTTTCCTATTACATTTAAAAGTTGTGTTTACACTATACTCAACTGGGCAATAGCATTGTCTAAAAAAAGTACATATCTTAATTAAAAAGCACTTTGTTGCCAACAAGTACTAATAGTCCGTCTGAGCCTTTTGGCTGGTGGAGGGTCTTGCCTCTGTGTTGATGGCTGATAAGTGATCAGGGTGGTAGTTGCTGAGGTTGGAGTTACTGTGGAAATTTTCTAAAATAAGACAACAATGAAATTTGCCACGTGAGTGGACTCTTCTTTCATAAAAGATTTCCCTGTAGCATGTGATGCTGTTTGATAACATTTTACCCACCCGTAGAACTTCTTTCTAAATTGTAGTCAATCTTCTAATGCTATCAACTAAATTCGTATAAACGTCTAAATCCGTCATTGTCATTTCAACAGTGTTGACAGCATCTTCACCGGGAATATATTCCATTTCAAGAATCACTTTTTTTGCTCATCCATAAGAAGTAATTCCTCATTCATTCAGGTTTTATCATGAGCTTGCAAGAATTCAGTCACATCATCAGGCTCCACTTATAATTCTAATTCTCCTGCTGTTTCTACCACTTCTGCAATTCCTTCCCCCATGGAAGTCTTGAATCCCTCAAAGCCATTGATGAGGACTGAATCAACTAATTCCACATTCCTGTTCATGTTGATTTTTGACTTATCATAAATCACAAATGTGCATAATGGCATGTAGAATGAATCCTCTCCAGAGGTTTTTTAATTTACTTTGCCCAGATTCACAAGAGGAATCACTAGCTATGAAGCTATAGTCTTATGAAATGTATTTCTTAAATGATAAGACTTAGAAGTCAAAATGACTCCTTGATCTATGGGCGGAAGAATGCAGGAAAACAACACCCATCTCCTTATACATCTCATCAGAGCTCTAGGGTGACCAGGTGCATTGTCAATGAGCAGTAATATTTCTCAAGAAATCTTTTTTTCTGAGCAGTAGTCCTCAACATTGGACTTAACATTCAGTAAACCATGCTGTAAAAATCCAGGCTTTGTTGTTACATTTATGCAGCACAAGCAGATTTAGCATAATTCTTTAAGGACCCTAGGATTTTCAGAATGGTATATGAGCCTTGGCTTCAACGTAGTTACTGGCTCCATTAGCCCCTAACAAGAGTCAATCTGTGCTTCGAAGCTTTAAAGCTAGGCATTGACCTCTCCTCTCTAGCTTGGAAAGTTGTAGATGGCATCCTCTTTCAATAGGAGGCTGTATCGTCTACACTGAAAATCTGTAGTTTGATATGGCTGCCTGCATCAGTGATCTTAGCCAGATCTTCTGGATCACTTGCTGCAGCTTCTACATCAGCACTTATACTTATATGTTATGGACGCAGCTTCTTTCTTCTTTCCTTAAGCCTTGTGAACCAACCTTCTCTAGCTTCTGACTTTCCTTCTGTAGCTTTTTTACCTCTCTCAGCCTTCATAGAATTGAAGAGTTAGGCCCTTGCTGTGGGTTAGGCTTTAGCTTTAGGGAATACGGTAACTGGTTTGATCTTCCATCCAGACCACTCAAAATTTCTCCAAATCAGCGGTAAGGCTGTTTGGCTTTCTTATCATTTGTGTATTAACTGGAATAACATTTTAATTTCCTTCTGGAATTTTTCCTTTGCTTTCGCAACTTGGCTAACTGGCTCAAGAGGCCTAGCTTCCAGCCTGTCTCAGTTTTTGACGTGCCTGACTTGCTAAGCATAATCATTTATAGCTTTTGATTCGAAGTGAAAGATATATGACTTTTCCTTTTGCTTGAACACTTAGGGGTTATTGCAGGGTTACTAACTGGCCTAATCTCGATGTTGTTGTGTCTCAAGGAACGGGGGGGAGCTCAAGAAGAGGGAGTGAGATGGGGTAGCAGCTGGTCAGTAATGCAGTCACAACACACACAACATTTATCCATTAAGTTTGCCATCTTGGGTACAGTCCATGGAACCCCAAAACAATTACAGTAGAAACATCAAAAGATCACTGATCACAGATCACCATAAGAAATGTAATAGAAGTTTGAAATATTACGAGAATTACCCAAGTGTGACACAGAGATGCAGAGTGAGCACATGCTATTGGGAAAATGGCACCGACACACTTGCTCGACATCGGATTGCCACAAAACTTTAATGTGTGGAACAGGCACACACACACAATATCTTCAAAATCCAGTAAAGTGCAGTAAAATAAGATATGCCTGTATATGCAAA